AAAATTGTAAATCAATTATACTTCAATAAAATTAATTACAACAGCTAAAATTAAATAAAATAAGGGACTTCTCTGGTGGGCTACTGGCTAAGACTCTGCACTCCCAATACAGAGGGCCTGGGTCAGGGAACTAGATCCCACAAGGTGGCAACTATTAATAAGAGTTCATGTGCTGCAATGAAGATTCCGTGTGTCGCAATTAAGACCCAGCACAGCCAAATACATAAATAAATATTTTAATTAATTAAATAAAATCAGTGGTCATGTGAAGGCTTGCTAACCGATATGGGTCTCCGTTTGGGAGAATGACATAGTGGTGTGGTTGCCTAACATTATAAACAGGCCTAATGGACCAGAACTATACACCTTACAACTGGTAAACTGTATGTTATTTGGTTTTTTACCCACCCTCTGCCCACCTACAAACTTTGCAGAATTCTGGGTTTCTTTGCACTTCCCGGCATTGAGGTTCTGGAGATTCCCAGAAGGCCCTCTGAGAACGCCTGACCTGTCCTGTTTTCTGTTTCTTTTTTTAGGAACTGGAGGCAGAACCCTAGAAGAGGCGTTTAAGGCAGAAGAGCCGAAAGGGGTGTCCTGGCCCTCGACCGCCTCAGCAAACGCTCAGGCAGAGAGCCCCAGGGTGGCAGAAGAGCCCCACGCCCAGCCGCTAGGGTCTGGCCCTGAGACGAGCGGCCCCGGAGGAGAAATGTCCCCTCCCAGCAGGAGTGACGTTCCCAAGGTCAAAGCAGCCGAAGGCGTCCCCAAGTCAGAGCCGGAGGTCAAGTTCATCTGCACAGACTGTGGCGTCAGCTTCCCGCAGTTGGCCCGCCTGGAGGCGCACCAGGTGCATTCGCACCCGGGCGCGCGGTCCTTCTTGTGCCTGTACTGCGGGAAGGGCTTCGGCCGCAGCTCCATCCTCAAGCTGCACATGCGCACGCACACGGACGAGCGGCCGCACACCTGCCACTTGTGCGGCCACCGCTTCCGCCAGAGCTCCCACCTGAACAAACACCTGCAGACGCACTCCTCCGAGCCCGCCTTCCTGTGCGCCGAGTGTGGCCAGGGCTTCCAGCGCCGCGCGCGCCTCACGCAGCACCTGCTGGCGCACGCCCAGAGCCAGAAGCCCCCCAGCGGCACCCCAGAGACCAAGCCCCCGGCACCCCCCGAGCTGACCGTGGTCCTGTGCTCCCACTGCGGCCAGACCTTCCAGCGCCGCTCCAGCCTCAAGCGCCACCTGCGGATCCACGCCAAGGACAACGGCCACCAGTGCTCCGAGTGCTCAGGCAGCCTGCGCCCCGGGCCCGAGCGCCGGCCCTATGTGTGCAGCGAGTGCGGCAAGGCTTTCCGGCGCAGCGAGCACCTGGGGGCCCACTGGCGCGTGCACACAGGTGAGCGGCCCTTCTCTTGCCAGGTGTGCGGCCGCAGCTTCAGTCAGAGCTCCCAGCTGGTCTGTCACCAGCGGGTGCACACAGGCGAGAAGCCCTACGGATGCCCGCACTGCGGAAAGCGCTTCATGCGGCGCGCCGGCCTCGCCCGCCACCTCCTGACGCACGGCGGCCCGAGGCCCCACCACTGTGCTCAGTGTGGCAAGAGCTTCAGCCAGACCCAGGACCTCGCTCGCCACCGGCGCAGCCACACCGGCGAGAAGCCCTGCCGCTGCAGTGAGTGCGGCGAGCGCTTCAGCCAGAGCGCCCACCTGGCCCGCCACCAGCGCATCCACACCGGGGAGAAGCCCCACGTCTGCGACACCTGCGGGCACCGCTTCCGAAACAGCTCCAACCTGGCCCGCCACCGCCGGAGCCACACGGGCGAGCGGCCCTATGGCTGTGAGCAGTGCGGCCGGAGCTTCCGGCGCAACGCCCACCTGCAGCGGCACCTGGCCACCCACGCCGGGGCAGGGGATGAGGCCGCATCTGGGCCGGCGGAGCCCCCCCAGGAGTGCCTGGAGTGTGGCAAGGTCTTCAGCCGCAGCTGCAACCTGCTGCGGCACATGCTGGTGCACACCGGGGCCCGGCCCTACTCGTGCGCACAGTGCGGCCGCAGCTTCAGCCGCAACTCCCACCTGCTGCGCCACCTGAGAACCCACGCCCGAGAGACTCTGTACTAGCTCCTCCCGCTTCGGCGGGGCCGATCCTGGCGCATCTCCCTGGGCTGCTCCCAGGCTGCCGCGCATGCACCCTGCTCCCCCCACCCCCACCCCACCCAGTCACCTCCATCTGGCTCCACTGACCCTGCATGGTAATTCTTCCCTTGCACAGAAGCATCTCGTCCAGACCTCAGGAATGTATTTTAAAATACCTAAAGTAAAACAAACAGCCTTCTGAACATGGCCCCTCTTTATGTTTTTCTTAAGTGCCACATGTTACCCTCTCCGCTGGGTCTGTGGTGATGCCCTCTGCTTCCCCCACCCCTTCAAGAGTAGGCTGGGTGGGAGCAGATCCAGGGAGAGTTCCTCCCCCCGGAAAAGGCTCACTGTGACTGTGTGTATGTCTGTCAGGGTGTGTGTGTGTGTGTGTGCGCGTTGGCGGGGGAGAAGACAGCTCTTAGAGCCAACTGTGGGCAAAGCCAACCAGTCTCCCCCGGAGTGATTTCTCCTCTGGAGTCCACCACTAACCCCCGTGTTCAGTACAATATCCTCCAGTGTATTTGGCTGTTTAATTAAAATTGAATAAAACTTACAACCCCAGATGTTAGATTGATACAGGAAACCTGTTCTTGTGGAAGGTTGGTAACTAATTCAAACAAAATGCCAGCACTTAGCGGGTGATCTAATTCAAACTGAAAAACTAAGCCTGCCTGCAGGAAAGTTGGGTTGACTGTTGGGGGACCACTAACCACGCATAGGGGCTTCCCTTGCAGCTCAGCTGGTAAAGAATCTGCCTGCATTGCAGGCAGAAGACCCGGGTTGGATTACTGGGTCTGGAAGACCCCCTGGAGAAGGGATAGGCTACCTACTCCAGTATTCTTGGGTTTCCCTGGTGGCTCAGGTGGTGAAGAATCCACCTGCAATGCAGGAGACCTGGGTTTGATCCCCTGGAGGAGAACGTGGCAACCCACTCCATTATTCTTGCCTGGAGAATCCCCATAGACAGAGGGGCTTGGCGGGCTACAGTCCATGGGGTCGCAAAGAGTCAGACATGACTGAGTGACAACACAGAACAGCACAACCACCCATAATCTTAAAAACCCAAAGCTGCTCTCTAGGTTTCCCCACCTTCTTCCTGCCTATCAGGCCCACTTTGGCCTCTTCCTCTGGTGCACAGATTTCAAATCACATGACTTCTGGTAAATTACTGCCCCTCCATCAACCTGACAAGTAACTGTTCCTTAGCAAATACTTGTGGAAAGGAAGTGAACTTGAGCTCATCAACCAGAGCTCAAGTGGCTGAAGGAGAACCGGCCCCGAATCTGGGGAAAGTAGAGGTGATTCCTGGGCACAGCTGGGAGGGAGAGCTCTGAGCTTGGGGGGTGCAGCCCTTTGGGGTTGGGAGGAAGACTGGGCTAAAGAGAACCCCTGAAAGCTGCTCTGTGTGTACCTCCCTGAGGCAGGAAGTCAGGGCTGGGGAGGTGGGATAGTGTCCTGGGGGAGGGGGATGTGAGCCAGGCTGGCCCTTAGGCCTTGCTCCTGGGCCCCCCAGTCTCTGCCTTGAGGCCCAGGTGAGGGAGGCCACAGGCCCAGAGGCCCACTCCTGCCCTCCTACCCTGCTTTCCCTCCTGGCCCAGGTTTGGGCGCCCTCCCTCCCCCTCCCCTGGCTCCTGGGACTCTGATCTTGAAAAAAGACCAAAGAGCTTCCGAGGCCCCAGCTGGGGTACTGAAGGCCAGGAGAGAGAGGTCAGGAGAAGACAAGAGGGGTTAAAGCCCCTCCCCTGAGCTCCCTGAGCCCTAGGAGTGTGATGGTCCAGTCCTCCCCACCAGTCAGTCCACGACCAGCGTTCCTGTTGTATACACGCGTTCTGGGAAACAAACTTATTCAGAAGGACAATGCAGATAGTGGAGTGCAGCTTAATACACCGGCGGGCCCAAGGTAGAGTCTCCTCTTAGCCAAGGACCCCGACCAGTTTTTGTGAAAACCTTATATACCCTAAATGTACGTGCTCAAACCCACCTCCCCAAATTCTCTGAAACTAGTCTGAACAAAGGAAAAGAAAGATACAATCAAAGTTAACCTGTGATTCGTATGCCTTAAACCCGTATGCCTTAAGCCCAGGCAGTTAACAATGGACAATTATCAATAGGCCTGTGGTCACACCCAATAAGCATAATAGAATTTACGATTCTATTTGGTTACACAGATAATTAGGGTATTCTTTTAGGTGACTGGAGAGTCTAGGTATGAGTCCTGGGCTCTTCCATGCGGGGGGGGGGGGGGGGGGGGGGAGTCTGGCTTTCCCATTGTTATGTTGTTTCCATAGATACTGGGCACAGCTCAGTCTGGTCCGAGATGGAGTTCTGCCTTCAAGACAGAGCCTGTTCTGTCTGTTTCCTCCTTCATTCCCAGTTACAGATCAGAGAGTCCAGTGGCTTTTGTTGTTCACCCAGCACCAGGACCCCCACCTGGGTCCATCTGACCCACCACCTCTGCCTGTAGCCATCGGACCCCCAGCCTCCCATCCCCACAGACGCTCCATTTCGGTCAAATGACTTTTATTAGGAGGTCAGCACTGCAGTGGCAGGCAGGTCAGACCTGGTGCAGGAGAATCCAGGCGGGGAGAGTTAGACAGGCTGGGTGGGGCCCTCCCTGAAGGGGAGGAGGTGAGGCAGGCTACGAGGATGGGTCAAGGGTGAGCAGGAGGGTAAAGGGTGCATCAGAAGATGCCCTGTGAGAAGGGAAAATCGAGGCTTCTAGATGAGGCCAAGCTCCCTGGGGACCCCTTGGGGCTTCTAGACCTGGATGAGGCTCTTGAAGAACTGCTCCAGAGAGGAACAAAAACCCTTCAACACTCTCCAGATGGCCTCAGCCGCTTTGCACAAGCCTGGTAGGCAGGCAGCTGCTATCCGCTTAATCCAGTTCAGGGCTTTCCGAAACGTCTGCTGCAGTTACTGCAGGAGGCTCTTTAAATCGCTCAAGTATGGAGAAGAAAATGGCAACCCACTTGGAGAAGGAAATGGCAACCCACTCCAGTATTCTTGCATGGAAACGTCCATGGACAAAGGAGCCTGGCAGGCTGCAGTCCATGGGGTTACATGACTGAGCAGGTGTGCACGAGGGTAGAGGGAAAGGGGTTGGTAGCAATAAACTAGTAGAACTAAAAAAAATTAAAATAATAAAATCGCTCAAGTATCCAGTCGTACCAACTCCTTGAACTGGAGGAGTCAAAGGGCTGGTTCGGGCCTGGGGGACTGTAGGAGCCAGAGGGCTCACAGACTCTGCGACGAAACTCTTGCTGTGTTTCACGAAGCAAGGGACTGGATTCCTACAGCGATGGGAGGCAATGGGGCAATGTCCTGACCAAGCCGAGGCCTCCCAACCTTTAGGAGATTCCGGGACCCAGAAGCCCATGAATGAAAACTGCCTGCCTTCCTGCCAACAGCTCCACAGACACAAAGACTTTTCCCAAAACCTGAGCCTGGCCCCTTGGTTCCCCTCAAATAATAAACCCTGGTGGTTTATTGCACCTGAAGGTGAGCTGACCTCTGAACCCTGCGCGAGGCCCACGGGGCTCCCAGGCAGGGAGCTGAAGGCAGGGCTCTGGTCACCGAGCACTGAGTGGGGAGGCTGATGCCCCAAGGCTGCCCCTCCGGAGCTCTCAGGGCTCCCCCACCCCCACTCCGGGGAGCTCTGTGCATTTGTGGCAGGACCAGTGACAAGACAGACCAGTGGGGAAGGGACTCAAGAGGAGCTGAGATGTCAGCTCAAACAAACCCTGATGCTTGGTTGTACCTTCCTGTAGGTGGTTGGCCTCTGAACCCAGCACCAGGCCCACGGGGCTCATCAGGCAGGAAGCTGAGTCCAGGGCTCTGGCCCCCGTGCGCTGAGTGGGGAGGCCGATGCCAGAAAGGCTGCACCACCTGAGATTTCAGGGACCCCCTACATCCCCCACTCCAGTGAGCTCTGTGCACACGTGCCAGCAACAAGGACAAGAGAGGCCAGAGGGAGAGGAAGGAAGGCGCTGAGACAGTGGCTCCAACTCACTGGAAGGTTCTCTTGAATGGGATCTTCAATGAATTCAAGGATGTCCCTCATGAGTGCCTCCTGGGGAGAGGAAGTGTGCAGTCTGCACTCCTGCCTTGCTGCTGAGGTCAGGGGTCCCCACTGCCGCCTCCCGTGCATTCAGGTGAGTCTGAAGGGAGCCAGGGCCCCAGACCCCATACCCTGGCTGATCCAACTCTGAGGACTACCCTTAGCAGGGGGCAAGGTCCAAACTCACCTCCATCTCTTCTAGGGTTGCCTCAATCTGTTGGGAAAAAAACACTGTTTGAAACACTCCCACCCTCTCTCACTTTCACCCTGAACCCCAAGCCCCAGCTAGTTCTCATCTCTGCCCAATCACCCCAATAACTAACCCTCAACCCAGGGACCATGTGTCTGGCATGCCTGCCTGCCCTCGTTGCCCTGTGGTCCTGACACCTCCCTCAGCATCCCTGGGCCTCCGTATCCCTTCCTGTGCACTCACCTGCCACACAGGTGTGCGTTTGTCCAGTGAAAGGACTGGGCGCTGAGCTGTGACCCTCTTCATCACCGTGACTGTGACCCCACCCCACCTCCCTCAACCTGGGGAGGGTTTGGGGGTGGGCCACACTGACCCACCTGTGCCTTTTCTGGTTGACTTCCCATCATATCGCAGAAATAATCCACACGGCGGTGTTGTGAACAGAGAGGGACTTGAGTAAAAGAAGCTCGGTTCTTCTCCCTGCTGGGTCCCAAGTGAGCCAGATGTTCTCGGCTTCACCCAGCAGAACCCAGGCCTCCAAGCCCCCAGCTATATGTGGAGATGAGCTTCTTACAATTTGGGCCCTGAGAGAAGCCAGGTTACGTGGGACTCCCTGTGAAGGAAACAGTGAAAGTCAGTCCTGACCTTGTAACCACTAAGAACTGTTTCATACACACACACACACACACACACACACACACAGACTCACACACCCAAGGAGGACCCTTGCCCTGGAGTAGGGCTCTGGTCACCGAGCACTGAGTGGGGAGGCTGATGCCCCAAGGCTGCCCCTCCGGAGCTCTCAGGGCTCCCCCACCCCCGCTCCAGGGAGCTCTGTGCACTTGTGGCAGGACCAATGACAAGACAGACCAGTGGGGAAGGGAATCAAGAGGAGCTGAGATGTCAGCTCAAACTCACGGAGTTGTTGTTAACTTGAGCATCCACAGCGTCAGCCACATCTGCACTGCATGTGCTCTGGGGAAAGAGAATGTGGAGACTGCCCACGGGGCTTGCAGCTGAGGTCTGTGGGCCCCACTGGGCCTCCCACAGGTCCAGAGGGGTCAGAAGGAAGACAGACGTCCAGACCCAGTACCCTGGCTGATCCCAACCATGGGGACTCAACTTCAGGGGAAGGGCAAGACCCAAACTCACTCCAATTCAGTAAGATCCGAGCAGACCTATTGGGAAAATATCACTCAGTTTAAAATTCCCCCGCCCTCTCTCACTTTGAGTCTCAATCCCAAGCCCGAGTCTGTGCTCATTGGTGTCCCCTCTTCCCCCGGTGGCTGGGGACCAGGCATCTGACATTGCCGTTCTGTTGTTCTGCCCTGTGACTTGCACACCTCCCCAGCAGCCCTGGGCCTCCGTAACCCCCACCTGGGCGGTCACTGGATACACAGGTGAATTTTGTGCAGTGTAAGGACTGGTCTCTGAGCTATCACCTTCATCATCACCATCATCATGAAATTGTTAGGGGAGCACTCTGGCTGAAACTGCGCACCCCAGCCAGGCACCACTATAACCATCTGCGTGAGTAATTTTAGGACAGGAGGTCCTAGTGAGGAACAGGCAACTAACAAGCCACCAGTAGCTGGAAGAGTTGGGGAAAGGTCAAAAGGAGATGCGACATGTCTGACCACTTCCCAGGATCCTCCTCGTTGGCATCCATCTTGGCTGAGCAAGGCGTGCACCACCAGGAAGGACCCCAAGTCAGACCGACTGGCCAAAGACAACCCGGAAACTAATCCCATCACCATGAAGCCCAAGACCGCGAGCCAGCAGGCAGAGCAGTCCTCCTGGCTTCCCTTACCCTCCTGCTCTCCACCCGGGCGCCCTTTCTCAATAAACTCTCTTGCTTTGTCAGCATGTCATCTCCTCAGACAATTATTTCCAAGTGTTAGACAAGAGCCCACTCTCAGGCGCTGGAAAAGTTCTTCCTGCAACAAAGCCACCCCACTCCACTTACACTGGAGATGGGGGAGTTCACTGACCCAACTCATCTTTAGATTTCCATAGAAGGGTTTCACAGAAGTTGTCGACAAGTTGGTGCTGTGAAGAGAGACAGAGTTGGGACGAAGAGGCCTGGTCCTTTCCCTCCTGGGTCCCAGGTGGGTCAGGACACCCTCAGGTTCAGCTACCAATCCTCCCAACCATCCATGGGGATGAACTTCTTACCATTCTGCCTTGCAGGATATCGATGGGATCTTCGAAGTCCTGTGGAGATGACAGCGACAACGAGGCTGATGAGACCTCACCAACCACTGCGGATCTGTTACACACTCACACACTCACACAAGGAGGATGATTGCCCTGGAGTGGCAGGTCCAGGTTCCCAGATGCCAACCTGGTTCCCAGATGCCCAGCCCTCCGTGGTCCCGCTGAAAGCTGACCAGGGAGGAACTGGCGCTGTCGTCTCCTGTCTCAGGCGCTGACGGTGACAGTGGCCCTTGGGTGTCTTCCCGACCACTGACCCTGCAGACCCACGGACCCTAGCCCCTTCCCCTCCAGACACTTGACTCCATCTCAGAGGTGGGAGGTGCCCCACTGAATCCTCCCGAGACTCCACATAATGGCGGGAATCTGGCGTGTCCCCGCTGCCCTCCTGGCCCTGGGGGATCAGTGCGGCTCACAGAGCATGCAGGGCTCCCGTTTGCACACCCAGTGTCTGGAGGCCCATCCTGTCAGCCCCGCATCACACACGACTGGGCAAGGAGACACCTCGCGGGTCCTGGGAGCGCTCTGCTGCCCACATCGTCCTCTCACCGGGCCTGAGCGCTCAGCCTGGGTCACCCCTGATGACCACTCCCAGATCCCGGTGTTCCATGGCCCAGAGCCCCTGAGCATCTGGTCACCCTCAGAACTGAGGTGGGGGAGTGGGGCAGAGGGCGGAGGGCACCCCAAAGGGAACGAATAGACTCTGAGCTCAGCGTGTCTTCAGCTCCTGATCCAGGCCCTGAGAGCAATGCCTTCATTTTCCAGAAAAACACCACATGCCTCTACCCCCGGGTTTCCAGGCTGTAGAAAGGGTCCCCAGGGACGACTGATTCCTCTGACCCTGGAGACCCTCCATGTGCAGCTCCCTCACCGGAGTGTCGACTCTGATTCCTAAAGTGACTCCTCTGTCCCATGACTCTGGTTCCTCAGTCCTTTCAGCCCAGAACGGCCCACTGGGACCTCCACAGAGCTGCTGCAGAACCTGTCCTCCAGCAGGAATGCCGCCCCAGAGCCGGGACCTGCTGCGTGAGGAATGGGCTCTAGGACGGGGGGAGTGTGGGGGAGAATGGGTACATGTGTATGTATGGCTGAGTCCCTTCGCTGTCCACCTGAGACTATCACAACTGTGTTAATCGTCTCTATTCCCACACAAAATTAAAAGTTAAAATAGAGAGAGCGAGAGAGAACGAAACAGAGAGACAGAAATCTTTGTGCACAAACCCTTTTAGAAGTAGAGAGAAAATAAATAGTTGAAGTCCAGCTGAGAGCGTTCCAAAAGAAATAAAGGAGAGGGCTGAGAGCAACAGGCGTGTTTAGGGTCTGTGTCAGCAACTGTTCGGAATGTCGGGTTAGAGTCGGCAGAGCACCCCCTCCGCCTCGGATCTCTGTGAGCGAGGACCTTGTCGGCTGCATGGGTCACAGGCCTTCAAGCCCAAGTCTCCCCAGAGGGTCCCCCACTTCGGCCCAGGGAGGGTGGGACAGAGGGAAGTGCAAGTGGCCCAGTCAGCAGGGGTGATGGATGGACTGATGGAAGAGGGGACAGGGGAAATAGACGCCAGGGCCCAACCTTCCCCCATCTCCTGCACGCTCTCACCCTGGCGTAAGCCGTGCTGCTCCAGGGTTCGGCCACTGCAGTGCGGTAGGAGGAAGGGTGTGAGGAAAAGTGTTCTGGAGAAGCAGGCTCGCCCATCACCCTGGAGCGTGTTCTGCCTGCAGGTCTCCCCTCTTCCCTCAGCCCAGGCGCCCCGGAGCCCCTGACCTGAGACTCTGCGGCAGAGCCCCAGCTAGGAGTCCACTGCTGAGCCGTCCAGATTCAGCGTCCCCTGAGAGTCAGTGCCTTCAGGACGGAGGAGGGAGGGTGGAACCGTCGCAGAGCGGAGGAAGTGGGCTGGGCGGGGGTTTGTGTGTGTGTGTG